AACTTCCGGCTCGACGTGGATTACGGTGAAGTGACGTGGTCACAACAGCCGGGTGCAGCATTAAAATGATGAGTCGGTGCGTAGTAGATACGAGAACAGCAGTTCATGACATTAACTTCCCAACACGTGATGATGATGGTGTGGATTTGGAGGTGGTGGAGCTGGAGCTGCTGGTGTGGATGCTGGTAGTCGCAGCAGCATGGGTAGTACGGAGCAGTGGTAGTGAAAACAAATGCATGGGTCGGGCCAGTCTCTGAGTAGCAGTAGCAGTAGCAGTAGTCGTCAGGGTTGTGGCGGTGGTGAAGGCGGCGGCAAGAACGGCGGCAGCGGCTCGTTGTCGTTGTCGTCGTTGTCGTTGTCGTGGTCATGTTTACTCCTGGTTATTTTTGTTCATCGTGCTATTTTTTTCCCGGTGGTTGGTGCCCATGCTAATTACTAGTTAGTAATTCGTCGTAGCAGGTAATTTCCTCAGCCAGTTTTCGTAGCTTGGTTCTAAAACCGCTGGCTCGAGGAAAGCAGGTCTTCTTGTAGTATTCTATGCAGAAGATTTTCGTCCTACACTTGCAGCCCCCTCTGGCAGGCTGGCAGTCATCATGCTTGGCTGGGGCCATTGGATAGGCTGCTGGACTGTTCAGCTCATTTCCTGTCGGATCCCTTTAGCTGGGCTGTTCAGATCATTTCTTGGATCCCTTCAACCTACACATTGTGAATGCAAGCTGCAATGAAGGGCTTCAGGTATTTTGAGCCATCAACTCAGCCCCAGGAACTCTGGAAAGGGTCCATATCAAAGGAGATGCTGCGCTTTGCTGTTCCAGCGTCGCGCTACAGCACGTGTGCATTTTGTCGCTGTCTCTATGCCCGCGCGCAGGCCCTACAGCCCCTGGCACAACTTGCCTTGGAGCACAAACCTCCTTCCGTGTTTAGGAAGCGAATTTATTCGCAGCGTGTTGGTTTATGCTAAGGCGTAGGTTCTAGGGCGGCGAGGTAAGCTGCCACATGCTCATTGCCACACCCGGAGTACACCCTGTTGTCGGATTTTGCTTGCTTTCTTTGGTATTGCTTCGCAGCATGGCTTTCAATGGGACCTGCGTGTTCTGAAGGATGAGGTCACTGGCGTGATCAACTGTCATCTCGTCACGAACTTATTCCATACCAGTCCATCAATACAAGGAAAATCCCAGCCTCAACCCAAACCTGAACATGTATACTTCCTGCCTGTTTCACCCGTGACATGCGACCCAGAATTCTGGAAATCTTGCCCCTTAGTCTTGTCAACCTCGCGCAGCCTTTACAGGCCCCTTGGAAACCATGCCAGACTGAAAATCCTCAAGTAACTTGAAGTTACAAAACCCAAACTTTTGAAACCTGCATCCCACGTTAACTCAGTTTCTCAGATGCCCTCACGCATTCTTCAAATGCTTTCAGGTACAATCCTCATAAAAGTTCGGGAGGGCATTTTTGGATTTCTTGGTTTTGGGATTTATATTTTCTGCGTTCTACCCTTTTTGAGCAATACCAAGGATGAGCTTCACAGAAGAAACCAGCGGGTGCGGGGGTGGGGACGACCCTATCCTCATTCTTATCGCTGCCTTTCACTTCTTTAGTACTACAATTATCACAATGACTACTTCCTGGACCTTAAACTGGGACATGTAAGGCCCGAGATCCATTAACCACACACAAAACACAAAGGTCATTATGATTCTACCATGGTTTGGGGGGTTTAGGTGACTACAACTCCGAGATAAGGGCTACGAACATAACGAGCCCTAAGCCCCAAGCCCTAAACCCTACCCCGAATCCCTAAACCCTAAGTGGCAAAATCCTACCCCCACGACCTAAACCCTTAACCCTAAATAGTAGCTTCCATTTTCTTTTCCATTAGCCCTGTACTATAAGTGCCCTAATTGGGACATGAAATTCTTCTTAATTACACCCCATCAACCCAGGTTGCCTGAGTCTCGCCTTGGCTGCCCTGGGCCAGTTAGCTCGTTCTTCAAACACCTTGCAGGCTGCGGGCCATGGCAATGTGAGCTATAGTCTACACTCCTAGTATGCCTTAATAAGCCCTTATAGTAGTCCCCTATAATATAATTTCATATATAACCCCCTTAAAGGAGTTTAGACTATGGCTGATTTAGTGTTTAGGGTTTAGGAGTTTAGTGTTTGGGGGTTCAGGGTTTTGGGTACCATTGCAATTTATGGCGGATTACTTGGAGGTTCAGGACTATGATAATCTTAAACCCTAAGCAAGGGAGTTATAGCCCAATGCAGTACTTGGAGGTCCGGGGTTTTCAAGCCCAAGTAATGGCAAGCCTCCTGAGTCCCCTTTTGTGGTAATACTTGGGATAGAAGTTCCAGGTGATACTTAGGTTGGGGTCAGATTTAGATTTTTCCTTGTACCCTCCATACAGAGCCTACATATCCCAAAAATGGGTCCTGCAAAGATCCTGTTCAAAGCTAGTTGTGAGGTCCTGGAAGGCTTCGGACTTTACACGTTTGGAGCAGCAGGGATTAAAGTTCCAAAGCTAGAGTTGACGCCTTCAGAACTGGCCTTCAGGGTCAGGACTTGGGATCTGGAGTGGCTCACGTGGGTTCTGCGGAGAGACATGGGGTTTGCATCCGGTTTGCCAGGACGGTATGTGCAGTCGTGGGGATGGAACAAGTGGTCCATTCGCCAGACAACACCATTCCCCTCTCCGTCGGGAAGCTACGTAATCCCGCTGTAAGATCAAGAGAACAGAACCATGGCCTCTCAATGGCATGGCAGGTGGCACAAGTTTTTTTTCAGAGTCCCCGATGCTTAGAGACTTAGAGACTTTTACCGAAGCATCGAAAACCCATTGAGGAACAAACGGAACGACAACTATCATCTGCACTTAGAACACATGTATTTCGCCTAGCTTTGTAGCGCTCCTCTTCCCAATGGGAACAAGCAACCATGATTTGGCCTATCCAGCCGTGATCCAGGCCAGCATGTTTGACCAGTTCTGGTCCAACAATCGCATGCAGGCCACATGGTAGCTATCAAAGAAAGGGCTCTTTGGGAGACCGTGGATGGTGGGACCCCTATTAATGCAGAGCGTGCTTGCATGAGCACCTGAATTTATGTCAACTTCTGAGGGGTAAACACTACCACCCAATCAGTTGTGTTGGGGGTCTCGTTCAATGCATTTTTCGGGCAGGGCAGCGAAATGAGCAATGTTGGGATTCTGAAGCTTCAAGCTTTTGTCGAAAGTGAGAAGAGGAATGGCTTATGGCTTTCTACTGAGGGCTCGTAGCCATACAACCAGGCTGAGCAGCCCCCCACAAATTTGCTTTGATGTACCGGCTACAGATGGTCACCCTTACTTGTTTGGGATGGCCCAGAAATGAAAGCCGGCGCCAGCGATTGTAGAGAAGTCATCTTGAAGAATTCTCGCGTGCGAGTAATGTTACATGGGTCCTTCCAGGGATCCGTCAGTATACTGGGTCACATGAAATCCTTTGTCTCACCTACTGCTTAGCGTACATGGCTTTACTTTGGCTCAACGAGGGTGACAGAAGTGGCCACGTCATCATTTTTGTGCAAGGGTAAGATTAAAGTCCTAGATTCGTTTGCCCATTCTTTCTGCTGGTCAGTCTTCGGCATGTAGCTGAGAAAATGCTCTGTTTTGCACACTTGTTTTGGGTACGCAGGTTTCAGACATCCTCAAGTGAAGGGCAGAGGGTGCCCCAAGCGGGCCAGGGTGCTGCAAAATCCAGACACTCCTCTGCTTGACATGATGTAGATTCTTGGCATGCTCCGGGCTTTTTGAGGGACATCCTTTTTGAGCGCGGCCGTGTTAATGGCAGTTATTCTGATCAACAACTGCCCAAGGCAGGAAAACAATTAGGTTGCCATCATCTGAAAGGCAAGCCCGCATGATAGCTGACGTTTTTCATTACAGACCTACTTCGCAGCTGCTTGTGCATCCCAGACAAATGGTACACAGGCTTTGGGCCATGAAATAGGGAGAAAGACCTCCGCTCAATCCGTCCACCCGTCAATCAGTCACATCTATGTATGGACTTGCAATACGCGCAGTACATGTCGTCCTTCTTCTGATTGATGAGCTTTTCTGCTCGTAAATTGATTGCAAAGGCCGACTATGATCCAAATGCATTTCCCAACTTACATAGGACGAAGCCCGACAGTTTGAGTTTGAGGACGATGCAGAGCGCGAGTGGTGGGGCGACTACCTGGCCGCCTACTACAGGTAGGATGCTGAGCATTCCAGCTTGTAGGGTTTCTTGACAGCTGACCCCCCTGCCTGGGCCAAACTCCTCTCGACTCAAAGTCCTCACAAATGGATCACAAGGTTCTTACACTGGACACACCAATCAGCCTTGCAGATTCTATGTATGATCCCCAGATAGGCCCATAGGCTCAACGCCCGGGCGCAGACCTTTGGATCTGTCTTTCTGAACTTGGTCCCCTTGCAATGCTTCTGAGGGGCCTCTAACTTTTCTGAGGATTACTATCTCTAGCCAAGGTCCCCCCCTAAGTCCCCATGAAAACCTTAGACCCCCAATATACTAAAAACCCTATATGTCCCTTTACATCCTTTATATATCCTGTATAGCCATGTAGTCTGATGTAGTCTGCATTTCCTAACTTGCCCGCCAACCACAGGGCCTTCAACCTGAACCTCGACGGGTCTTTGCCACAGCGAGTTGAGGAACTGGTGGCTACGGTGTTTGTGCGGCTTGGCGGGTTTAGGGTCTAAACTCCTTAAAAAGGGGGTTATGTGAGGGATTATCTACGGGACTATCATAGGGGGCATATAGGGGTTATATAGTGACGTAAGGGTATCGTGGCGATGCAGGAAATGAACAGGTCCAGGGGCGACACAGCACATGCGGGGCGGAGGTATTTGGAGTCCGCTTTGCCAACTTTGCAGGCAAAACTCAAGAAATTGATTTCAACTACTAACCGAATAATAGCCATTTTTGCACCAAGGATTGTGGGGCTGCTGGTGATGAAGTCCTATGTTATTGGCTCCTTCTTCAAGCTTCAGCAGTCACAGAAAGCCCTTGAAATGGAAGTCTCCAGCCTTATGGACAAGGCAGAGCTGGTCTGTATTGCATTGGACTTACCCCCTAGCATCCGCAAGTCTATCCGACAATATTGCTTGTTCCAGTGGTCAAAGGCCAGAGATGTCAGCAACAGAGAGGTTGTGTTGAAGACCTTCCAGCCTGATCTGCAAAAGAAGACCAAAGAACAGCTCTTCTTGCCGGTGATACAAGCCAATGAGTGGCTGCTGACAGGGGTCTCTGCGGAGTTCACGCTCCAGCTGTGCGATCAGCTTGCGATTGTCAATCTGCTTCCTTCTGAGATGCTGTTCGTGGAGCAGGATGCCCCACAAGACATCAGCTTCTTGGACACAGGTACTTTGATGCTTACGAGGCAGGAGCAGCTGATACGATACGTTCGCAGCGACCGCCCGAACGAAACTACAGTGGTTGGCGAGGTCTCTTTCCTCTTAGACATGCCGCATCTCTATTCGGTACGTTCTCGCGCTGGGGTTGAGTCAACCGTTTTGCGAGTTTCCAAGCAAGCATTTGATAGACTCATGCAGCATCTGGACACAGACGCGGACCAACTGATGCAAAATGCTGCTCAGTCCATGCAGCTGACGCTTAATGGGTCTGATGCCAAGCGTGAGTACCTCGCAGACGGACGTGACGACACTGAGCTCTTTGTGCAGATGCGCGAGGCCCCCTTTCACCGCCACAATCCAGCATCCCATGATGTCAAATGTGCAGCTTTATTTGGTCAGCTGGTATTGCAGACGAAGCCCGGAGCCCTGCAACCCTATGTGTGAAGCTTCGATTGATACCTGTGTTAGCCCTTCCGTGCAGATCAATATGGTGCGGTTTGTTTTGGTCGGACTATTTCTTCAAACGCCGAAGATACATATGTGACTGTATTCAGATACCTGTGGATGCATGAAGAACATGTGCATCCATGCATACATATGTATCGGTGCATGGGGGTATATATATATATGTATATATGTGCGTATATGTATGTGACACAAACGTACACTTGTTCTGATATACGAAGCCGAAAGCCTCATGACAGGCCGTGCGTTCCAAGCTCCTGAAGCGCACTAGCGACTTGGGCTGGTACCCAAATTGAGGGTTTAGGGATCCTTGGGGTTTAGGGCAATATTGGGTTAATATTGGGGTTATCTTGGGATATGGGAAAATAAAATGGAAACTACTATAGTGGGTTATATAGGGATGTAGGGCTTAGGGTTTCGTTGTTTATGCGGGCGCCTAACTTGTTTTGAGGTCTTTCATATTGTTTGGGGGGCGGGGGGTATTGGGCCTTCCCCGTTCGTTTCTTTGTATAAAGGTCTGGCTGCATATGAGCAATAATCTAAACTCCTTAAAGGGGGGTTATGTAGGGGATTATATAGGGGACGACTATAATGGTTATTAAGGGGGATACTAGGAGTTTAGACTATAACAGTTATAATCCCCTACATAACCCTATA